CAATCACCGAAGTGGCGGCGGGAAAAACCTGCAGAGGGGAATGTACGTGACTCGTGTGAGAATACTGCGCAGAACAGGTTGGCTGAAATAGAGAAAGCTACAGGAAGATTGGTGACTAGAAGCCACATCAGTGAATGCTGACTATCAAAGGTATTGGGACCTTATTCTCTGACGGGAGGCCTGGTGCACGGAATTCGTGCACGGGTAGGCCATCAGGGCTGATCGGGGCCTTCCAGCTGCTGGCCGGGGCCTGCCTTCCCCCCGCTGCTGGCTGCCAGCTGGGGCCTTCCCTCGTTCCATGCCACCCCTGGTGGTCAGTGCACATCACAGTGAGCAGTCGAACTCCCAGTCGGTCAAACCCCTGAGGGGACAATTTGCATATTAGCCCTTGATTATAGAGGATAATTAAAAGTTTTAAAGCCATGTAGCAACATACACAGAAACTGTTTTAAGAATTACTTGCCAGGGCCTATAGATCAAATGGGAAAATAGAGGCAGAAATAACAACTAATCAGGCAAAAGGAACTTCTTGCCGACATCTCAGGTAACAAAATATTCTAAACTTTATGACACACAAACATTATACTTGGCTGTTTGGAGACTATGCCCACTCACACTCAGGACACTTATATTAGGCCTCACAAGCCATTTACGCAGCGTCTCCACTGTGGAGAGTCAGCTGGGTGTTCCTAGTAAGACACTCAATTCCTTTACAACTACCAAAACGCTACAGATAATCCATTTTTACTTTAAAAACTCTTCATAAATTAACACAGTTGGTCTGAATTTTTCAGCTGCTAAGTAGTCGTATTTCCATGGGTTGGAAGAGTAAAATGCAGCTACATGGACAATCACAGTTGGTCTGAATTTTTCAGCTGCTAAGTAGTTGTATTTCCATGGGTTGGAAGAGTGAAATGCAGCTACATGGACAATGGAAATAAAATTAGCACATTTCCAAAGTTTTCTTTTTAACAGAGGAAAATATTTGTTTCACTGTAGATGTGTGCATTCCATACATTTGTCATGTTACGCTCTTTGAATTACAATAATATGTTCTTTGGATTACTTTAAAATATAATCTACAGATTGTGAACTAAAAAGCAGCCTTCATAAGCAGTTATTATAAACAGTAGAAAAGCTATGGGGTCAGGGAGGGGGACAATCACAAATTGCAATTTCAAAGACGTGGGTCTCAAATTTTCAAAAGTATTTTTGCCCAGCCGGGTGGCTCAGTGGTTGAGCGTCGACCTATGAACCATGAGGTCATGGTTCAATTCCTGGTCAGGGCAAATGTTGGGGGCTGTGGCCTTGAAGCCTGGTGTGGGGCCTGCAGTAGGCAGCCAATCAATGATTCTCTGTCATCACTGATGTTTCTCCCTCCCTCTCACTTCCTCTCTGAAATCAACAAAAAAATACATTATAAAAAGAAATTTCCAATCTAACTTTGCAAATCAGTAGATATCATGAACTTTTAGAATGAGGATAAGCCCAGCCAGTGTGGTTCAGTGGCTGAGCATCAACCCATGAACCAGAAGGTCACAGTTCGATTCCCAGTCAGGGCACATGCCTGGTTGGGGGCAGCCTCTCTCTCTCTCTCCCTTGCTCTCTCTGAAATAAAAAATAAATTAGAGCCCGCCCTAACCGGTTTGGCTCAGTGGATAGAGCGTTGGCCTGCGGACTGAAGGGTCCCAGGTTCGATTCCGGTCAAGGGCATGTACCTTGGTTACGGACATCCCCAGTAGGGGGTGTGCAGGAGGCAGCTGACTGATTTTTCTCTCTCATCAATGTTTCTAACTCTCTATCCCTTTCCCTTCCTCTCTGTAAAAAAATCAATAAAATATATATTTTAAAAAAACAAAACAAAATAAATTAGAATGAGGATGACCCATCACTTTTTGAGAATTTATGTATCTGTTCTGCCACAGACCTGAATTGCTAGAGTTTTATAATATACGTTTATTTTAATTAAAATTACCTTTGAGATTTTCAAAATGCAGAAATAAAAACTAGAAATCACTGTTGAAAATTAAATGTGTAAGAGCAACTATTGAAAGGGTGGGGTTCAGCTGTGAAACAGCTGGTACAATTTCCAATTTTATGCCAACTGATGCGAGAGAGCACACGGGCCCAAACTCAGCTAAACCTCCCCTTCATCTCGACTTCACGGGCGGAGAAGAGGGTGGGGCGGGAGGGACAGGGCCTCAGGAAGTTCACTTGCAGTGGAAATTCCTGACACGAGAGCATCAGACTCATCAGGAAACGCCTCTCCTTCAGCAAGCATACTTTTTGTAACTAATGCGAACAGCAGACATTTATTAGATCTCAGTCCGGGTAAGGCATTACTCTAACCGTTTACCTGTCTGATCTCCTGTAGGCCTCACACCACCCTACAGGCAGACAATGTTCTCACCCTCATCTCACAGGTTAATTCTCCCATCTGTCGGTGAAGAAATGGGGGCCAACAGCTTGGTGAAGCTGCATTTACACTGATGGACTGCCACTCCAGGCTCGATGCGTATTTTTCTAACAGCACAGCCTGAACGCCTTATGAAACAGAGGTCATAGAACTGCGGAGTTTTTCTTCTCATTTACCTTATGTTACACATATACCAGAAATAAGCTAAAGTAACCACTGATCCTTCCTATATAATAAAAGGGTAATATGCAAATCGACCAAATGGCGGAACGACCGGTTGCTATGACACACACTGACCACCAGGGGGCAGACACTCACCACAGGAGCTGCTGCCTGGTGGTCTGGGAATGCAGCTCAGCCAGAAGCCGGGCTCATGGCTGGTGAATGCAGCAGGAGTGGTGGGAGCCTCTACGGCAGTGGTTCTCAACCTGTGGGTCACAACCCCTTTGGGGGTCGAATGACCCTTTCACAGGGGTCACCTAAGACCATTGGAAAACACATATATAATTACATATTGTTTTTGTGATTAATCACTATGCTTTAATTATGTTCAATGTGTAACAATGAAAATACATCCTGCATATCAGATATTTACATTATGATTCATAACAATAGCAACATTACAGTTATGAAGTAGCAACAAAAATAATTTTATGGTTGGGGGTGACCACAACATGAGGAACTGTATTAAGGATCGCGACATTAGGAAGGTTGAGAACCACTGCTCTACGCAGAGCTAAAGACCCCTAGGGGGAATGTCCGACTGCCGGCTTAGGCCTGCTCCCCGTGGAAGGCAGACATCCCCCAAGGGGTCCTGGACTGCCAGAGGGCGCTGGCAGGGCTGAGGGACACCCCCTCCTGCCCCCCCTACCCCCAGTGCACGAATGTCCTGCACCCACCAGGCCTCTAGCTTAAAAATAAAAACACCAAGACAAGGAAAACCTGACAGGAAACCTAACTCAGTACACTTTCAAAGGCTGCCCTGGGCAGTGCGCTCAGGGGTTAGATCGTTGGCCCTCGGACCAAAGTGTCTCGGGTTCAATTCCTGGTCAAGAGCACGGACCTGGGTTCAGGTTTGATCCAGGGCCCAGGCAACCAGTCAGCCTCTCTCTCTCTCTCTCTCTCTCTCTCTCTCTCTCTGCCCCCCTCCCTCCCTTGTACTATCTCGAAGAAGAAAAAGAAAAATCAATGGAAAAAATAAAAATATCCTCGGGTGAGGGAGGATTAACAAAAAAAAGACAAGACTACATATGTTTTTCTACTTGTTTTCCGGTTAGAGGAGCGACTCAGTCAGGCATCCATCAGCAGCTGTGCGTGTGAGCAGGAGCCGCACCATGCACATCCCACCACCAAGGACAGCGGGTTGCAGGGCAATGTGAAGGCGCTTTCGGAGCAAAAACCTGGCAAAGGAGCCCCCTTAGGTGTCATTTTCATCATCGGTTTTGAAAAAATAAGTTTCGTTGCTGTCAGAGTCACCGTCGCTTACCACCCGGCCTTTCTCGCTGCTCTGTGCTCCTCACAAGGCTCCTCACTGAGGACCAAACGCGGGTGTGGGTTCCAAGTGCAGGTCCTGGACCTGGAAGGACGTGAGGACTGAACCCGAGGGCTGGGGCCGCGCTGC